TGCTTTGGTGCCTCTTCTCTGGCAGTGGTCACACACCTCCCTGACCTCAGCACCTACCAGGTCACCCCTCCTCCAGGGCTCTCACTAAGGTCTTTAACACAAATTCCTCTGCTTGCCCCTTCATCCCTGGAGTGTTGAATGGCTCTCCAGTATTGCTAGTGTCTGGATGCCTCAACATTCCTTGTTTGTTCCTATGACTCTGGCCAATATCTACGCGTGGTCCTCTCAGTAAAGTGCCTTCGCGAGAACCATCTGCAGTGAATTGTTTCCAGCTGGCATCTGACTAATGTAGTAAAACCTTTCTTGGTATATGCGTTTGCATTTCAGCAACTTTTCTCATAATCCCTTTGCCTGAAATCCCTTTCCTCCCACCTCCATGTCTAGCTGTCCTTCAAGGCCCTCTCAAACACCACTGCTCCCGAGTAGCCTCCCTAATCCCCACACCATGGAAATCTCTTCTCTCCTTGAACTCACTCAGCACATACTTGAGAGTGATTATCTTTCTCTGCTTTAAATTATAGTGACTTATGTACATGTAACTCTGGCCAGTTTGTAAATTCTTTGAAGTCTGAACCCACACCCAGGTCTGGTTTGTTTTTGTTTTTCTCCCTCTCCTTTGGGTTCTTCCCTGAACTTTGCCTCTTTCCCAAAAAACACCTGAAACAAGGCTTGATACCAAATGGCCATTCTATCATTTTTTTTATTACTTTCATTGCTACTTATTGCTGCTTCTTATTGTATTATAGTAGATACCAGTTACTGATTTATCACAAAGTATGATTTGCAAAAAATTATGAAAATTATGGCACAGAGTAAAATTTCCCATTGGTGATAATGCATTTAAAATATGCAATCGTCATTCACCTCTGATATATATGTATGTATGTGTGTGTGTGGGGGGCGCGAGAGAATTTTATTTTTATTTAAAAGTTTCCAGGCGATAAACCTGGTTTTCTTTCAATATTTTTTGGGGGGTATCAAAGAAAAAAATTAACATATGGGCAAATACTCATTTGTAACTGAGGCTATCTCCAACTTGGAACCAGAGTTATAGAGTTACCTTCTAATCTGGTCTTTTTAAGCTCTATTCTGAGAAGCTCTAAAGGGTCTTTCCAGGAGTGGGTATAGATTGAGAAGTCCTCAGGAGGCTTTCACTGGAAGAAAGGGTTCCAGTCTTTAAAAAGAGTGAGAACAGCCCTAACCGGTTTGGCTCAGTGGATAGAGCATCGGTCTGCAGACTGAAGGGTCCCAGGTTTGATTTTGGTCAAGGGCATGTACCTTAGTTGCAGGCACATCCCCAGTAGGGGGTGTGCAGGAGGCAGCTGATTGATGTTTCTCTCTCATCGATGTTTCTAGTTCTCTATCCCTCTCCCTTCCTCTCTGTAAAAAAAATCAATAAAATATATTTAAAAAAAGAGTGAGAACAGTTTCTCTAATCTCACCTCCCACTCCAAACATCCATACAATGTCCCTCTGTTTAGTGGCTAAGTCTCTGCTTAAACATCACTAACTGGAAATTTACTCACTACATAATACAATTATACAGTATGTTTTTAAACAACCCTAACTTTGGAATGTTCTATCTTATATTTGGCTGCAATCTGGCTACTCATCATTCTCTTACTTGAATCAATGAAGAATATATCCAAATGCACTTCCTCCTCAAAATGGCAGTACTCTGATGGTGATCATATTGCCACAAATCCCTCTTTAGGCTAAAATCCCCTTTCCTTTCAATGGTCTTCATAGAATATGTTTGAAACACCCACTTTGGTCACATGTTATTTGTCAAAATCCCTCTTAAAACATGATGCCTTAGAACTGAAAATAATTTTCCTGATGTATATTGATAAGGGCACAATAGAGTGATATGATTTCCTTTATTTTGGGTATTTAAAAGCCTGTTACAGTTACTGCAAGTATCTAGTCTGGCACGTAAGGAGCTTATAAGTTGCCACTCTATTCTAAGGACAAAGCTGAAAAAGAAGTCTTCTGGGATGCAAAAGAGAAGGGAAACCACAGCACAAACAGCTGCCTCAAAAATTGGAGAGACAGGTGAGTACAGAGAATCGCAACATTGCAGAGCTGAAATCACTGCAGAACCAACACTGGGGTAAGAAAGCCTGAGCTGTAATTGTTATGTAATAAGACAAGAAAAGGAAATAGAAAGTATACACTTTGGGAAGAATAAAAAATCTGTCTTTACATATGACATGATTATCTATGTAGAAAATTCAAAACAATTGACCAAAACACTCCTGGAACTAATAAGTGATTACAGCAAGATTGCAGATATAAGGTTAATATATAAAAGTTAATCACTTTCCTATATACCAGCAATGAACAAGTGGAATTTGAAACTAAAACTCTTTACTATTTATATTAGCACACCCCAAAATGAAATATTTAGGTATAAATCTAACAAAATATGTATAAGATCTACATGAAGAAAACTATAAAACTCTGATGAAAGATATCAAAGAAGTACATAAATGAAGAGGTATTCCATGTTCATGAATTCTGAAGACTCAATATAGTAAAGATGCTAGTGTTTCTAACTTGGTCTATAGATTTTACATAATACTTATCAAAATCACAGCAAGTTATTTCGTGGATATTAACACTCTTGTTCTAAAGTTTACACGGAGAAGCAAAAGACCCAGAATAACCAACTCGATATCGAATGAAGAGTACAAAGTCAGAGAACTAACACTAAGCAACTTTAAGATTTACTATAAAGCTACAGCAATCAAAACAGTATGATATTCACAAAAGAATAGATACCTCAATGGAACAAAACAAAGAGCATAGAAACAGACCCATACAAATATAGTCAGCTGATTTTTGACAAAGAAGCAAAGCAAATATAATGGAGCATAGATAGTACTTTCCCAGAAGTACTTTTCAAAGACTTGCTTATACTTCATTTAGTACCCCACTCTAGAAGGGAGGCTGGGAAATGTAGTTTTACAGTTGGGCATATTGCCATACTCAACACTGTAGGTGTTCTTTTATTAAATTAGAAGGGCGGAATGGATACTAGGTATAAACCTAGCAATATCATTTCTTAGGTGTATTTTTTTTCTTTTGCTAAATTTTTTTAAAAAATGAGGCATAGTTGACATATAACATTGTATTAGTTTCAGGTGTGCAACACAATGACTTGATATTTGTATCTGCTTCTTAATCTTATATGTAATACTAGGAATTATTTTTAAGTCACTTTTCCACCTTATACTGGTATAGCTGATTTCTTCCCCTCTTATAAAACTAATTATATACCTCATACTCATCTTTTTAAATTGCAGTATAGCGTAAGATCTTTTTAAATCTTAATTTGGGCATCAATAGAGTAAGCTATCCCTTCTACCTTTAGGATATCTGAAAATTAGAAAATTATGCCAAGATCCTGATAGAAGAGACCACCTTTGAAGTTAATGTCAGCAGAATGGAATGCATAACATCCAAGCTATATTTCTTCATCTTTTCACAAGGATGTCATAAAAATTTTTATCAAATGCTTACTTAATTCCAGGTGTTCTTATCTATATCTATATCTATATCTATATCTATATCTATATCTATATCTATATCTATCTATCTATGTCTATATCTATCTATCTATCTATCTATCTATCTATCTATCTATCTATCATCTATCTAGATTATATGCCATAGGAAACAATGGAACACTAGAATATTCACTGACCTGAAAAAATATTCATGAGGCATTTTTTACACAAAAATAGACATGCTTAGAGAGAGGAAAGGAGGGAGGGAGGGAGTGGGGGAGAGAGAGAGAGAGAGAGAGAAACACCTAAGTTATTTCGGACAGGTTACTATTCATTTTATATTACATTTTGATAAGAAAAAAGGATAATAAAGATAACTGATTTTAATATATTTTATTGATTTTCTAGAGAGAGGAAGGGAGAGGGATAGAGAGTTAGAAACATCGATCAGCCGCCTCCTGCACATCTCCTACTGGGGATGTGCCCGCAACCCAGGTACATGCCCTTGACCGGAATCGAACCTGGGACCCTTCAGTCCGCAGGCTGACGCTCTATCCACTGAGCCAAACCGGTTTCGGCAAGAGAATGGGTTTTTTAAATGTAAGACTGAAGGCTAGGAAACTAGGAAGAAAGACATTGCAGTTATCTAAATGAGAAATGGAGAGAGCTCTAAAGCAGTGACAGGGGAGGTGGAGAGCAGACGGATTCAAGAAATAGTTAGAAGGCAGAAGTGGAAGGACTTGGTGATCATTTGAGGTGGAAAGAGAATGAGGATCTAGAGTGAATCCCAGGTAAGAGTGGTTTCTAGTGAATCAAAGCACCCATTTGAGTTATTAATTTGGCTGAGGTAAAAGGAGAGAGAGAGAGAGAGAGAGAGAGAGAGAGAGAGAGAGAGATTTTACTCATAAATCTATAATTAGGGCAGGACTTAGCAAGAGTCTCTCCACTCTGATCCACTTCGCATCAGCTTGGGGGTGGTTTAGAGGTAGGGATTTGGGGGACCCGGAATTATCTGAATGTGTGACCTCTCCCTATTTGTTTCCAGCATGGTGGCTTAAGGAATTCTGAGGTATTGAGATAGGTAGAGGCAGATGATAGGTGACAGATAAATAGGTGATAGATAGATAGATGATGATAGATAGATAGATAGATAGATAGATAGATAGATAGATGATAGATCGAGAAGAGAAAGGGAGAGAAGGACAGAGGAAAAGTGGAAAGCATTGCAAGGTGACATGTTTTCATGCTGGCCATTGCCTCACTACGAGCCCAAAGAGACACAGTGAGTGGCTTGGTAGGTGGGTGTGGTGCAACCACTTGGGACATCTCCAGAAAAATGATATATGTAATTTGTTTTTTGGAAGCAGTCCATTAGATGGAGAAAGGAGGGGAACTTTATTGACCAGATCCCTCTTGTATCAGTTTTCTATTACTGTATAACAAAATTACCACAAACTTAATGACTTAAATACCATTAAAATATCCATTTATTAACTCACAGGTTTGTGATTCAGAGTATGGCATGGCTGGGGCCTCAGCTGGGGGTATCATGAGGCCCCGGCTGAGTGTTCTTCTGGATGCTCTGGGGAAGACTCCACTTTTCAAGCTTATTCTTGTCAGCAGAATTCTGTTCCTGTGGTTCTAAAAAGGAGGTCCTGTTTCCTTCTTGGCTGTTGCCTGGGGCTTCCTTCAGCTCCTGTAGGCTGCCCACATCCTTTGCCATGACTCCTCTCTATCTTCACACCAATAATGGTGAATCAAATCCTCTTGAGCTCCAAATCTTTAACTTCTTCCCCTAAAACCAGCTACAGAAAACTCTTTGCTTTAAAAGTATAGATAGAATTAGGTCAAGCTCACCTGGGTAATTTTATTATCTTAAGGTCAACTGAAACATAGCCTAACGACAGGAGTAAAATCCATTATATGATGTAGTCCCAGGGAATATGCACATCAGGTACACCAGCCGGGCGGGAAATCTTAGGGGCCATTCTGCCTACCACCCCTCCCATCCCTAAATCTGATTTAAAAGCCCATGTTCCTCCTGTTCTTCAAAGCTGCTTGATAGTATATTAGACCAAGGTTGTTTGGGGCTGACAGTATAATGTCAACAGATGCGAGACAGAAATGAAATCATTCCACTTTGGTTCTGCTTCTATGACTTTCATCCAGAAGAATGTTCTGTGAATTCTAGCACATTGTGGGTACTCAATAAATATTTGCTGAATGAACTATGGATTGGATAGAGGAGAATAAATATTTGTAAGAGTAGATTAAAGGTTTAACCTAAGAGGTAAATAGATTTTAAATGATTACCTCACTGTTTCAAAAGAGATTCTTTCCAGTTCTGAATGAATTACATTCCTGAGTCCTGAGAGAAAAATAGGTGAGATTACTGCAAAACCAACTCAATCTTTCTTTGTTGAATAAGTGAGTGGACAAATTCATTTTGTTTGGTGATCTCTGTCTGTGGGACAAGAAAGCTTATTCGCCACACCTCTCTCATTACCAATCATCAAAATGTTAACTTGACAGCATGTATTCTTTCTTGGTGATACTGTAGGAAAGCTCTTAGAGATGATCTCTCCTACAGCTCATTAAATACTAAGCATATTTAAAAGACAATCTCTAAAACTGTGAGCTTGAGCAGTACAAGTGAGTTCATGTTAAAACACTGGAAATATTTTTCAGAAATATGTATTTACCTTATACTATACTGAGCTTCTATATACTATACAGTCACACAAGTATTTTTGTATGTGCTATGCATTGTTCCATAAATGTTAGTTATAGTTTTTCTATGGCCCTATATAGATTCACTTTCAAAAATCTGGTTATAATAAACCTGTTTAATTACATATAAAACACATCCATCCAAGATTAATTAAATCAATTTTAATCTGAGAGAATTCTTAAATTATTCTTTAATTTGTGAATATATTTATGTATAAATATAATGTAATAAATTGTAGTGTGAGAACTTCAACCACTTCATCACAGATACATCTTCCTTTAGTCCAAATAATTTTGAGGATATTTTAACATATGTAATGCTTTTCTCATCCTGTGGAACATTTGTAAAATGGTAACTTAGTAAGAGTAACTTTGTCATAGCAATCAATTAGTAAGTACCAAAAGTCTATTATGAATGGCATTAGAAATACTACCTATTTCAATGGAACTTATGTGCAATCTATACTAATAAAAGGGTAATATGCTAATTAGACCGGGAGACCTTCCAGGAGACCTTTTGGACATCCTTCTAGACAAAGCCATGGTGGCAGGGC